CTGTCACATTCACATGTCACACTGCATTCAACTAATGGCTGGGGAATGCGATATAAGATCTTTTCAAATTCAATATTTTATGTGCAAATAATGCCTAAGCATTCTCCTGAGAATTATGAAGAACATTGGACATTTTGCCTGAGCTTTTTCCTTAGTTTAAGATTCACTGAACCCCTCCCCTCCATATTCTCTCAAAATTTCTCTTTCGCTTTCTAGGTGTCTGTTTTTGAATAGACCAGCTAAGTATTGCCTCCGTCACAAATCCTTAATTACCTCTCCAAACCCAGAAATCTCTTTTCTGAACTCATGGCCCAGACTGAATAGATCTATAATGTGATAGTTTACCAAAAAGTAGCACTTCTGTTATCTCTCTCTGGCCTTGCTGGTGTGAATTTTCAGGGTTAACAGATTCATGGACATGCTTCTTTGGTTACAATGTGTTGTATTCAGAAATATTTATTTCATTGAACTAAGCGATGTCTCTTCCAGTTACATTTTTTTAAGCACTCTTGGTACAAAAATACATTAACATTCTTAATTAATTCATTTAGAAAATAGATAATTAGCAACCCACTCACTACTTGCTAATAAGAAACTACACTGCCTCATCATGTCGACATTGGGAAATTACTGGCTGTGGGGGAGTTTATTAAGTTGTTAATAAATTTAAGATGGACCAAGATGGGGAAATTTCACTTGTGCTTCCTTGCCATGGAAGCAGCCATCACGGATTTCCAGATTAGAGTCAGTGCCATTTCTATCACGATTCCACAGTCGTTTCCCGTCTTCCTGGCTGTTGCCTTCCGCAGTAGATTGGCCTCATTCATTCACTTTCAAAATCAGGAATTCATGTTGAAAACACTCCCAGTTTATAAGGGATGGAATAGGCCATATATTTTGCTTTTAGTGACCCCTTCTAGAGTGCCATTCCCTGGTTATGTATTCAGGGTTTACTATTTTTTTCCTGGTGGTTCTCTAACCAGATCCTAAGCATTTCCATGCAGCTAACACATCTTTGTATCCTTGGCCCCCTTACCCAAACCTACTGAACCTACAACAGAGATGTTGCTAGACCATGAGTATGTGTTACTGAGGGGATGAGGCACAGCCCATGCTTTCAGGGAAGGGTAGGCAGGATGGCTTGTGTTCTGCTGCAGATAACAGGTGAGTTCCTGCTCTCTTCTGATTTTCCCCTGTCCCACTACTGGGTTGTTAAAGTGATGTTGTCAAATGTCATAGCTGGTGGCTGGTCAGTTTATGGTGAACGAATCTCTCCTGCTATAACATAAGCATTTCTGAGGAGAAAATATTCTGGTAGGCAGCCAGGTTCTTCTCTCCTCTGCTCAAGTCCCTTTCAGGAGGGGACAGAGTTCTTATTCTGGAAAAGAAGGTGACACTACATCTGTTTTTACAATATCCAGAACACTCACCGATCCAGGACCCTTACCACTTTCATAAATCAAATTTGCTAATAAGTCACTCTCTTCTGGTATATCAACTAGGGTGATTTCCAAAATTCATATTAGGCATGTTTTATCAGATGAGTTCTACGTCATGAAAGAGTTACGTAGATCTATATTTGGTAAAAACAAATATATAGAGAGCATTTTTTGACTATACATTTTAAAATCATGGTTTCATCCTATAGATCAATAGGTCAAGCATGTTAAGTCAATAGTTACTTTGTAATAACACTCAAGTATTTTTACTAAAATTTAAACAAAATTATTTGTGGCCATCATCCAGGTTGCCCAAGATGTAGTGCTTTCAATATTTTTCTGAAGTAAGACTTTTTTGTTCTTGCTGTTGGATGATTAGATATAAAACATATATCCTATATAATAAAAGCCTAACATGCAAATTGTACGACTGGGCGTTCAACTGCTCGCTATGACATGTGCTGGCCACCAGGGGGCAGTGTGGAACATGGCAGGCATTGGCAGTGGGTGGCAGTGGAGGCACTGCTGGCCATGATGGGCCCAATGAGAGTGGGATCACAGCGGGATGGTGGAGCAGGTGAGTGGGCGGTGCCAGGTCAAGATGGGTGTGAGCAGGGGCCCAATCGCCCTGCTGATTGCCTCGCAGACAGTGACCAGCAGTGGCAGCAGGGGACAGGGTCACCGCCTGGCTCCCAGGTGCTGAGGGAGCTGGTCAGGGTGCCAGGTGGGGCTGTGGGGCTGTGAGACTGAGGGTACTAGCTGGGGCTGCAAGGCTGAGGGCATGAGCTGGGGCCCGATTCCCGCAGGCCACCCCGAGGAACCCCACCATGCACAAATTTGTGCACCGGACCTCTAGTCCTTTAAATATATATATATATATAAGTGGAATCTCATTGGATTTGAAATTTATGGATGAGCATTTTTGTCAGCTTATAGACAATTTGGTAAAATCAGATGAAAATAAGATACACAGGGATGAATTTTGAGCACAGTTCTCAAGCTTGTTTAATATTATATATATATACAGTTTTTATTCTCAGAGGCTAGCTTACATGTAAGGGAGACCTTCAAACCTCCTTTTAAAAGGTTACTATATCTGCCTTAGAATTGTATCCTCCTGGAGAAAGATTATGTATTGAAATAATTGTAAAAGTAGACTTTTTTCCCTAAGAAAGTTAGAAAATTTTTCTTTGTGTTTTATTCATAGTAGAGGCAGCCTGAGAAAAAGGTCTCCATTGACCTAGATTTGCTGTTTTCCTGTATGCCAATAATTCAAAGAGCTCAGATTTATGCATTTGACACTATCTCGTCATAAGTAACGATGTTCCTGCATATATAGGTAGAAAAGTGCTCTTTAAGAAGTGCAAATCATTTTGCACATATTTTCTCATTAAACCTTCTATGCTATTAATCCCCAAATTTCAGGAATATGGAAATTAAGATCCAGAGAAGTGGTTACTTACCAAAAACTTATACTATGCTAAGTAAAGAGTTTAAGAATGAATTCCCAGAGTTCTGTTCTTTCCCATAGCATCTTTGGAATGTGTTCCTGCATAAAGTACCACATACTTTGAAATAAACAGGGATATATATTTTAGGCCAATTAAATCCTTTTCTAATTTATTTACAGTGGACACAATGTTTCATTTGGGAGATCAATACCTCACCAATACTAAGCCATGAAACATAAATTATTTAGCTTAAGAGAAAGTTGCCTCCCTTATCAATTTATGGAAGTTGGCTATTAGCATCATGACCCTCCTATCTTTCACATTGGCATAGGCGTTGAGAATTTATTTTGCTAAGGGCAAGATTTATACACATGAACCATTTTTATTCCAATAATGAATGCATTAGCTTCCCTCAAATGTACAGTGAAAAATTACTCTGCAGTCATTACTCTGACTCAGTAGATGGGGCTAAGGATGAGGAAATAGTCCTGTGAAGACTTTTTAAAAAACTATCTTAAAGCCATCATTCTTCTACAAGTGTGCATCATGTATGTGCAAACCATTCTGAAGAGAAGTCTCATTCAATCTTTACTTCATGTCCACTTTTGCCTCCTCTTTGAAGTGATTGAAAAGCTATAAAGTATACTTCCCAGACTCCTTTGCAGCTAGGTCTACCACTTAGATGGGCTTGAATGAGGTCCAGAAACCAGAAGTGAAGCAGGGGCCATTTAATTGCTGTTGCAGCAGTTGACAGATATTCTCTAAGAGTTGTGAGGGATCATAGTGGCTCAACATGACATAGTTGTAGAATAATCATCAGTGACAGTGCCATCAATGTGAGGAGACTGTGATCCTGAAGTGACAGAAATCAGTAGCAGTAGCTGTTGCTTGTCTCTAGGGTTTCATGTATACTGGTATGACCTTAAAACTGAAAGTTCAAGAGCAGACCACTGACATCCATCCCTCCAACCCTTCCAAAGATTTGGTAAACACAACTTCCCTGAATAAAATAACTTTCTGCTTGTTATGTTTTCTGTGGTTTTATAACCTAGTGAAGCTATAGCTGCTCTCCCACTTTTAAGTGCTGAGGAATACATAACTGAGGGTTGTGTCATCACAAAGTGGAAGATCAGCATATTTGGGTCCAAATCCTGGTTTTGACAATTAATAACTCTGAAATTTTGGTTCTATCTTTTCATCTTAAAAATGAGTCTAAAAGTACCAACTTTATTGGAGTTTATGTAAGTAATAATGTGCATTAAGTGCTAAATTAATTAGGTGGACTTGGCTTTAGTAATAATATTTTTGAAAATACTCTTTTACTAAAACTGGTTTAAATAATAAGAAAATTTATCATCTCAAATAATTGCCAGTTACAATGCAGGATAAACTCCAGGAATTATATAACCTGTGGTGCCAGAAGCCGGTCCATCCTTGCTGCTTGACACAGTCGCTGTAGGGAAGAAACATCTGCACAGCATATGTTTCCAGGGACCTGGCATATATGGCATACTGTTCTTTTTTTTTTTTTTAATATATTTTATTGATTTTTTACAGAGAGGAAGGGAGAGAGATAGAGAGTTGGAAACATCGATGAGAAACATCGACCAGCTGCCTCCTGCACATCTCCCACTGGAGATGCGCCCGCAACCCAGGTACATGCCCTTGAACGGAATCGAACCTGAGACCCCTCAGTCCACAGGCCGACGCTCTATCCACTACAGAACCTGGTGACCGAACCTGGCTGGAGAACCTAGCGAGAGAACATGGCTATAGAACCTGGCTGGAGAACCTGGAGAATGTGGCTGGAGAACCTAGCAAGAGAACATGGACACAGAACTTGGCTGGAGATTGTGGCTAGAGAACCTGGCTAGGCTTCTGATCAACTGAATGCTATCTCTGTGTCATTTCTTCTTCGCCCACTCTGTCCAAACCTTTGGGAACTCCTGGACCTGCTGGGGTTGGACCCCAACATCTGAGCTGCCAAGGACACCAGTCCTCGAGCTACATTAATTGGCTGCAGGTGGGCAGTGGAGCTCCTCTAGGCACCTACCTCAGTAGCTAAGGACCTCACAGGACACCAGGGGCTGACCTTAATTGACAAAGAGAAATGGCAGATGAAGGAGCTGTGGCAAGACTCCAGACAGAAATCAACTGCCCCATCTGCCTGGATAACCTGAGAGACCCTGTCACCATCGAATGTGGGCACAACTTCTGTCGCTCCTGCATCGAGAGGTCCTGGGCTGATGTGCAGGACAGGTTCCCTTGCCCTGTGTGCTGTCGCCCATGCAAAGAGAGGCACCTGTGGAGCAACACCCAGCTGGAAAGGATGGTTGACGTGGCCAAGCTCCTCTGGATCACAGAGGCCGACGTGAAGCAGCAGGAAGAGAGGCGCTTGTGTGAGAAGCACAGCCAGGCCCTGACCCTCGTCTGTGAGGAGGACCGAGAGCTGTTTTGTCCCCTGTGCACTCAGCCCCCTGACCACCAGGGCCACACGTGAGGCCCGTGGAGGAGGCTGCCTCTCATCACAGGCAAAAGCTCAGAAGTTACATTGAGCCCCTGAAGGAGCAGCTGGCAGACCTTCAGAAACTATTAGCCACACAAGACAGGCAACGATCAGAACTGAGGGAAAAGGTGGAAAAGTGGAGAGTGAAGTTAGCCTCTGAATATGAGAGTGTGATAGCATCCATAGAGTGTGAGCAAGCGGCAGTTCACTCAAGACTAGCTGCACAAGAGAAGCACATTCTACGGAATCTCACTGCAAACAAAGCTGCATTTTCAGACCACATTTCCAAACTTAGAGTTCTACGAAAGGAGATGGCAGAGACTAGTGTGGTGTCAGATGTGAAACTGCTGATGAACATCAAGGGTGTCCTCCACCGTTGTGATAACCTAGAACCTCCAGGTGTCTATTGTGTCAAGTATAAGAGAGAAGAATTCAGTCTTCCTCCACAGTGTTCGGCCCTGCTGCAAATCATGCAGACATTTAGAGAAGAAGTTACTCTGGATCCCGAAACTGCACATGCTAATCTGCTTGTGTCTGAGGATAAAAAGTCTGTGACATTTGTGAAGAAAAAGCAAGGGGTTCATCAGAATCCAAAGGGATTTGCAGACGATGCAGTTGTCCTGGGTTCTGAAGGGTTTGACTGTGGCAGACATTACTGGGAGGTCCAGGTGGATGACAAGCCTGAGTGGGCCGTGGGGGTCTGTAATGACTCCCTTTCCAAGGAGAGAAACAGCCCCTGCTCAGACAGGAGAACAGATATTGGACGATTCAGCTGCAGAATGGTGACTATGTGGCTCGAGGGCCTGTTCCTGTCACCCTTGTGCTGCAAGAAATGCCCGGAGGGATTGGCATCTACCTGGACTATGAGATGGGTCACGATTCCTTTTACAGTTTGAATGACATGTCTCACATCCATTCCTTCAGGGATACATTTTCTGAGGTGCTAAAGCCTTACTTCTATGTCGGATGTGATCCCAAACCTCTTACCATCCGTGTTTTAAGAGATTAGGAAGGATGAACTGTTACTTTGGTTCATTTTCTTCCTGTGACTTCTAGGCAGTAGGTAGAATTTTTTAAATTATAATTTTATTGTTACTTTATTTTTTAATACATTTTTATAGATGTCAGAGGGAAGGAAGAGGGAGAGGGATAGAAACATCAGTGATGAGAGAGAATCATTGATTGGCTGCCTCCTGCACACTCTCTACTCTTGATCCAGCTCCCAACCGAGGCATGTGCTTTTAACTGAATTGAACCCAGAATCCTTCTGTTCACAAGATGAAGCTCTATCCATTGAGATAAACCAGCTGAACTTCTTGCAGGGTGGCGCTGCCCCTCCCTCATTCACACACCTCACATCACCCTGCTTGGCCCCAGAGAATGGCTGGTTAGCCAGAGACGGGTAAGATTCCTCAGGGAAGGAACAACCTAAGACAGGCACAGTCACAGAGGGGCCATCAGGAGACAACTTGGGGGTCAACAGAGGTAGGGCACAGACCCTCACCTCCCCAACTTCGCAGAGGCCTGAACCCTCACCCCTTCTGAGGGAGGTCTCCTGCCCCCATGGCTGCTTCGCTTCCCATGCCCAGCTCAGATCGGGACCATGGTTAAGACAGAGACTGGCTGGCAGCAGCTGCCCTCTCACTGCAACAGGACTTGTTTCCCATTTCTACCTTGGACCACAGGGAAAGGGGCAGCTGAAGGAAAGGGCTGTGTCAGGATGCTGCCTTCTTCCCTTTCTTCTCCCTCTTTTTTCTAAATACTTCCATGCCTTGTAGTTCTTTTGCTTTCTCTTCTTTTTCTCTCTACTACCCTCCATCTCCGCCTCATCCTCCTCCCCGGTATCATCCATATCAGCCTACCCAGAGGGCACAGCAAACTCTGTTATGGGTTGGCTCAATGAGATAGACCACCAACTCAGAATTTAAATTTAAGAGCCTTTATTAAGCTGGCCAGCTGACCACAGCGCCTATCTCCCCCTCTGGGAGATTCGGAGCATGTGGCAGAGATCAAGGGAGCACTATGATCCTTTATAGCACAACAGTGTTACCTTAGAAGTTCATAGAAAGTTCATAAGAACAAAGGGGGGGTGGGGATAAACAGAGTCACACCTGGCTGGAGCGTATCATAACACATTGTTTTTCTAAGACAATCTAGCAATTTTTCTTCCATGGTTCCTAACCCTTATACAATCCTTCTTCATATCCTGACACAATTCCTCTCCATACGTCAGTCCCCCCTTCCAGCACATTCAATTTCTCATGTCCCATTTCCTCCCCTTAGCACATTCTGTAACATTCTGTAACCCTGCCATGGCTCAGTCCCACACCCTGTAAAAACTCTTCCCCGGACACCGACACCACCATTAAGCACTGCCCTGATGGACCCTTAGATGCATCCCTTCAACTCGCTGACGCTTTGGGAAGCCTGTCACCAATGATGCTGCCTGCTAACCAGATCAACCTCAACCAAACCCCCAACTTGAGGATAGCTGAAATCCCTTGACTGAAGAGGCCAGCAACCTTCTACATGAACAAGGCTCCTTGTGCACTCCATCCACTATGTTTATAGCTATGCTTGCTATCATTGCTTGTCAGTCTTCTTCCAAGTCTTAAACAACCCAATCCAAGAGGTGGCTGCTGATTTGCATGCGCTATCATTTAAAAAATAAAAAGGGGAATTTGCTGGAAGCCAGTCCATCCTTGCTGCTTGACACAGTCGCTGCAGGGAAGAAACATCTGCACAGCATATGTTTCAAGGGACCTGGCATATATGGCATACTGTTCTTAATATGTTTGCTCACCTTCTTGGAACTATGTGTTTTAACCAAGGCCACCTCTCCGAGAAAGGTTGTTTACCCAGGTAGGGATTTTCCCCTGAAGTTAGGGAGAAAATAAAATCCCTTACCTAAATGCCAGGCGGGTAGTTAATCACTTTAACTACGAACAATCACCCTTCAGCTACATAATCTTTACTCCCTGGAATGGAGATAAGAAATGCCCTAACCTTTGGAATAGAAATTGACAGGATTAAAAATCAACTGGTATAAATACAGACGTAACAGGACAATAAAACGCAGAGCTTGGCTGGAGATCCTGGCTAGAGAACCTGGCTAGGCTGCTAATCAACTGAATGCTGTCTCTGTCTCATCATTCCTTCTTCGCCCACTCCGTCCAAACCTTTGGGAACCCCTAAACCTGCTTGGGTTGGACCCCAACACTGTGGCTCAACAATATCCAAATAGCTCAATGATATTAACTGGCCAATGGCTGTTTTTGAAAATGAAATTTTATTTAACTGGGTTATATCCTTCTGGTGACTTTTGCATTACAATGGTTGAGTTAAATAGTTACCACAGGAACCACAGACCATCATGTTAGCAAAGCTAAAGTATTTAGTATCTGGCTCTTTGCAGTAAATTTGTTGACCCTTAATATAAACAGTGACACTACTGTCCTTAGCAATCTTATCCTAAGGATGGATCCCTCCATGCCCACAAAATGCTGCCAGCGTCAATCAGAGGGAGGGAGAGAAAGAAAGGGATGGAGGGATGTTTGGGGTTCTCTGTGCTTCCTAGACTTGTAAGTCTGTTTCTTTCACCAGGTAGGGGAAATTTTCTGTCATTTTTCTTCAAAATAGGTTTATGGCGGCGATATAGGCAGACGCGTCCCAGGTTAGGTCCCAGAGCAAATGGAGTGAGCAGCTAAAACTAATAACACTCACCCCGAATTGGCAAAATTGCTCAGCTGGTGAGACAGTTTGCAGCTGGGAAGGGCAGAACGCCCTGGAAAGGTAAAAAAAAACACCAAAAAACAAAAAAAAAAAAAAACCCAGGGATTTGGGCAGGAAAGCTTGCCAGACCTCTGAGCCCAGAGCGTCCGAGGGAGACCACATGGCAGACAGCCACGTCCCTTGGGACAGGCACAGCCCCTGACTGGGGAAAGGAGATCCGGGGGATTCCTGGTGCCGCCGGGGGATTTGAGAGCTGGGTTCTGTGGTCACGGAGGACTGGGCCTAAAGGGGGCAGCCTGAAGAGCTGACCTGACCATGCAGTGCCCGTAAAAGAAGAGTTTACAGAAACCAAGCCTTCCCCGTTTCCGCAGCCGGCGTTTGTTTGTTTGTTCTCACCGAATCCTGTTCATGGGACATTTCGGATTCAGACACTCACCTGTGCTGAAGAGAGGGAGAGGGTGCGGAGGAGTGGAATCTGGGGAGAGACTGAGGAGAGAAGGGGGACCAGGAGAGGTGGCAGTGAATTGAGTGCTGAGACACCCCTGGGCCCAGGATTGGGGCAGCCATTCTCTCCAGAGGGTGGGACTCCTCTACCTAGCCCCAAGCAAGGAGCACAGCCACACCCAGATTCCACCCTGAAGGAGATAAAGGATTAAATGATCTGATCAGTCCATGGGAGTTAACAGGGTCTGGCCTATAGAGGGATTTTTAATCCCAGCAACAACACAGATCAGGGTAATGATTAAAGAACCAGCTCTGGACAGGTGACCTCCCCAAACCAGTTTTAAGTGCAATAGAGAAAATAAACCCTTGCTACTGCATAGAGAAGCCGTATAGCCTCAGAGGCCAACCCAAAAATACTGCCACCCAGAGGCTGAGCCACAAACTGACTCTCAGCTAAATACAAGTTAAGGCAGTCTGGGACACAAATACAGCCTGCTTTAAAATTAGAACTGTGTTTTACA